AGACAAAAACCACAGAACCAAAGGCAAAGGCTCTTTCAAGAACAAAAGCTTCTGTTTTTTCGTATGTACGATTTTAATGGATTTTAGAATCTAGGTGTATTCAATTAAAATTTTAAAAGAATCTATATGGAATTGTAGAGTCCATTAAAATCCTTTAAAATCTGTCACCTAAAGAAAAATCCATTAAAATCCTCGGAAATCCAAATTGAATACATCCTTAAGTCATACAATGGGAGAACCATACTCTCTCTATGTTAGTAGAGTCACACAGTGGGAGAACCATAACCATACTCTCTGTCTATGTTAGTCGAACGTAAGACTACCTACTTATGGGTGAGAGTAATCCTACTAAATCGTAGCGTCAGTGACAAGGAAGAACATAAACTGATACAAAACCACCCTATTACCTATTGGAAAAACAAGCCTGTGAATCTGCGACCATTCCCAATCCAAAAGATTTAAAACAAACAAGCAGTACAGCAGCACTACTACAACAACAAAAACGCATAAAGAAAAAGATAGGGGTAGAAATTGGTTGAAGGAGTTTTGCACTTAATGTTGTAAAATTTAATTTGTAAGAGAGAGGACGACGAGGAGGAAGCCGAAGAGACGGATTCCGTACACAGTTGAAGGCTTGAAGATGGAGCCCTAATAACACGATGCCATAACGCTCGCGTTGTAAGTGACATCATATTTGTTGAAAAGGACTGAGATGCCCTTAATTTCTTTCTTTTTGTTTATTTGGTAGATAAAAGAAGACCCCTAAATTTCACTTTTTAATCCCCATAGTTTGGTTGAGGTTTGTTCTTCGTGCTTGCATTTTGGATTGTGCCAATTTTTACATGGTATTGAAAAATTATGACAAAAAGTTAAAAAGGATTCAAAATTATTTACCTTTGGGGTGAAATAAATATTCTTGAGTCGTCATGGCTGTTTGATCTATATCTCTACCTCTATTAGAGATTTACTTTGAGATTTGTGTAAGGAAGACCATTATGTTGTAATTGATTTAAACATATAACAATTCTTACTCACAGATTACAATTTTTAGTTTTTACTTGTGAGATGATTTGGTTTTTTTGAGAATATTAAATGACTAAAATATCCCTCTATATGAGAGTCCTATGTTGCTTCCTTGAAAATAGACATAAATTGAAATCTTATTTATTATCTTTATTATACTGTTTTTCTTAAAATATACTATTAAAATTCATCAGAATTCTAATTGAATATATCCCTAAATCAAGAGATGGAGGTGTTTGAGCTCAAAATATAGTTGTTCAAAAAAAATAATAACCTATATCCGCCAAAAAAATTCATCAATTATAAATTGTGATAAATGATTGAATTGCAACAATATAGAAAAACTAATTGGCACAATTGAAACCCAACACGATCCTCTTCGGATCCTTTTGGTGAGGATTTTAGGGATCCATAAATCGTGTCCGTTCATTGTACATTATGCGGTCAGTTTTTGTTAAGTACTGTTTATGTTTATTTTAAATAAAAATATTTAAAATGATTTCTGACCGTACGATGTACAATGAACATACACGATTCACGGATCCCCGATCCTCACAAAAAGGATCCGGACTCAATTGAAACTATAGAAACTGTAAGGGTCAAAAATGAAAAATGAAATTTGGCCTTGGAGGTCTATGTTTTGTTCCTCCACCATAACCTAACACTCAGTTTCAGCTGAGAAAAACTCATTCCACCGTAGAACCCAACAGAAACGACAAGTAAAGGTGCGGACTTTACCAATTCCACGCTCTCTTTTCCAATTCAATTTCTGAAAATTTACATTTTTTATGTATTAATTTTAATTTTTTATTTACCAGAATCGATCGGAGGAAGTGGGAAATGGCGAGCGCAGTGGACCCAGCAGGAGATCCGATCCCAACATCGGCAGTTCTGACGGCGGCAGCGAAGCACATTCAGTACAACTGCCAAGCGGAGAACGTGGCTTTTCTCAAGTGCAAGAAGAAGGACCCAAACCCGGAGAAGTGTCTCGACAAAGGTCGCCAAGTCACTCGATGCGTTCTTTCCCTGTAAGCCATTTCTAATTTTCTCCCCCTTTTCATTTCCCTTTGGAATTGGAAAGTTTGAGTGGTCTGTGATTTATTGATTAGAGACTTCACTCAGGTTGCTCAATTGGGCTCATACGTTATACAATTTGATACTTGGATTGCTCACACGAGCTCAATGTGGCTCATGGGTTATGTAGAATTTGAGACTTGTATTACTCAAATGAGCTCCATTAGGATTACTGAAATGAAATCAATGTGGCTCATGGGTTATAGACAATTCGATTGCTCAAGTGAGCTCCATTAGGATTACTGAAAGTGAGATCAATGTGGCTCATGGGTTATAAACAGTTTGACACCTTGATTGCTCAAATGAGCTCCATTAGGATTACTGAGATGAGATCAATGTGGCTCATGGGTTATAGACAGTTTGACACTTCAATTGTTCAAATGAGCTCCATTAGGATTACTGAAATGAGATCAATGTGGCTTATGGGTTATAGACAGTTTGACACTTCGATTGCTCAAATGAGCTCAATTCGGCTCATGGTATTGGGAACGGTCCCTCCTTAGTGGAGTTGCATGGCTTTTGGAATTCCCATGAATTTACACATGGTAAATGCATGTTGTATTACATAATTTACATATATTGATAATGGAAGACATGCATTGTATTTCCCTGGTTCTTGGCATTGTATTGTAATTAATACAATGGTTATTTGGCTGATGAATTGGTGTATGGGCGGATAACTATGGGTAGCTTTAGAGAATTCCATTAGTGGGACAACTAGGTTAAATTCATGTATTAATGCAAGTCGGTGCATTGGTGCAAGGAAGTGGCTAGTGATTTCTAGAGGCCTTGGTCATTTGAAGCATGGCTTAGATGGAGTTTATCTAAGTGCATCCGGTACAAGAGATGGTATGTCTCTTTTGCGAAAGCTACAAGTGTGGGTTGGCTTTTGGGTTACTAGAGAAGGTATTGCTCTAGGGTGAGAGAGTGATCTTCATGGGTTTGAGAGAACACCACAAGGGGTGTATCCTATTGGATAGGGGCTTGGGCTCGGGTTTGGGTGTATCCTGTTCGACATCCTGAAGTTGCCATTGTTTACCAACTTACACAAATTATACAATGGCCTAAAACCACTAGAGAAAGCGAGTAACCAATTAATTAGGTTCCATTGACTTTAAGTTCAGAGGAGTGTTTGCCCAAACATGAAAAAGAAAAATCCCACTGGTCCCTGGATACTCGCGAACAGCTTTTGAATTGGACGAATTTTCAAGGATCATCATTCCTTTTTCTCTCTCCTCTTGAAATGTTTTGAATTCTGCATCACATTCTTGTATTTTTACTATTTGAGATTTGGACTTTTTTTTCCGGTGATTTGATCATCCAGTTAGTTGCGTGATGTCTATGAAAACTTGAGGTACGACGGTATTGGAAACAATTTATCAACGAGTTCCCAGAATTCATCAAGAAATTTGCATAAAATGTTTTAGTTCTCCCATCTAACAGACTGATGAACATGTTAGCACATGCTTCTTTTATTTTTCGTGGAGCAAGGAGAGGCAAGCCTCGTTCCATTTCTAAATATGACATTTGTCCTTGCAGGCTGAAAGATCTTCATCAGAAGTGCACGAAAGAGATGGATGCTTATGTTGGATGCATGTATTACAATACAAATGAATTCGAGTTATGTCGCAAAGAGCAAGAGGAATTCGAGAAAAAATGCCCATTGGCTTAAGAACATGCCTCTTGTCCCACCATTACCACAATAATCGGGGCAGCGTGCAATGAGAAAAATAGTGTTACTTATAATTTGAATTTCAATGGATCTTGAGCTATTTTCTTCCTATTTTCATGTCGAATTTTCGCTTGGGTGAGCTCCCTTGAAGGAAAATATTTGGCAATGTTGAAGAGTGATTGACTAGTGTCGCAGTTGGAATTGTTGTACCTTACGTCCTATTGCAAAGGGCCTAATGGAAAATGAGTTTTATCATCTAGGCTGCGAAGTGAATCCTCTTATATTGTAACAAATTTAGAAAGCCAAGTCCTTCTAGGTTTTCATTCTCTTTTGCTAGTCCATTTTTTTGCATGGAAGAAAGCACCTAATGCCAAGTTTAAACTCATGTTATCCAACGACAACAAGGAGTTATCCCACTAAATAACGTCATTGCTTTTGATTTTGCGCTAAGTTTTCAGTTAGCTCCAAGTATTATATGTATATTTTTAAAGTCTCTTTCCAAGTATTTCTAGGTCTTCATTCTCTTTTGCTCTGAGGCTCTTCTTAAACCGTATTTTCTAACCTCAACATCCATAGGTCTCGTTTAGCATGTGAAAACTCATGTTATCCAAAGCATTTAAATTTCCAAGGCCACTAAACATTGAATTCTACTCATACTGAACATCCACAAAGTTTGCATGGAATCCCCACGACTGTTGGAGGCTGAAGCTGGCTGAGAAACCGAAGATTTGCTTGCGCGTGGAGAAAGTGCCACACCCAGCATCTTCTTCAAAATTATCTGCTACTGATTCCAAAATTTGGCGTGTTTCTCGGGGTGATCGGTTTTCCAAGAGTCCTCTTATATTATAACAAATTTAGAAACATAAATCCCTTTTTTGCACCAAGTCTTTTGTTAGCTCTAGATACTCCATGTCTTCTTAAAGTCTATTTTCAAATCTTTCTAGGTCTTCTTCTACCCTCTAGTCTCATTAATCATATTTTCTAACCGGATCGTCTACAGACCTTCATTTCACATGTCAAAACTCATGTTACCCAAAGCATGTAAATCTCCAAAGCCACTCAACATCCACAAAAATTGCATGGAATCAAATTCATCAAAAATTCTATGTTGCTCTCTATGTTCCTGAAATTTTAATCGTTAAATCGTTAAATTTTGGTCATTGGTCATTGTATCTTTCGTTTAAAGACCTGACAGTTTAAAACTCTCAAGTATTTTGAAAAATCTCTGAAATCATTGAATGGAGAAATATTTCATTGGAAATTTGCACTAATGACAAACTTTTTCAGTTTTCTTCCGGATTCTGCGACGGGAGCGTAAGTTAACTCAAAACCAGCAAAGCATACTTGCATACATATTACTTGCATAAATCCATACATACACACATACATACAATACAAGTAACAGAATATCAGAGATTCAACAAATCATACTCTCACCCTTCAATTCCTGAAGCAATGCTTTGGTATTATGATATGCAGTGCAGAACCCAAGCTTTCTCTCTCTCCAATCTGTTATCGACGTATAATTACGATAGGGTTTGTTGCGCAGAAACAACTTCCAGATTAAGATTATGATGTCCACAAGGAGTGAATAGCATCCAATTGATTTAAGTTTGTGGATTTGAGAGAGAGTTTGTAAAGCCCCCTCAATTTTTCAGTATCCCCACACCTGCTGGATACTGAAGCTGGCTGGGAAACAGAAGATTTGCTTGTGCGTGAAGAAAGTGCCACACCCAGCATCTTCTTCAAAATCATCTGCAACTGATTCCAAAACTTGGCGTGTACCTCGGGGTGATCGGTTTTCCAAGAGTCCGAGTCTGTTTCTGACACATACCGTCCTTCAAGCATGCAAGACAGAGCTGATTCCAACATCTGGAACACAAGCAATGTTTTAGATTCTTTGAGTATTTTATTTGTAACAGAAACAATAACAGTGAGACAAGATTATATAAACTGTGTCTGGAACTACATCACAAAATTATATGAAGTCATAATCCTAGTTACGATGAACTCTTCAAATAAAGAATAGCATAACGTTCAATACATGCTAAGTGTACTTATCTATGTTAATTAATTGCAGTATAACTAACGAAATGTATAAATGGCCTCTACATTGTTACCGCCTGATGTAAACACTACGGAAGACTGATGCAGCAGAACAGATAGCCAAGAAATGAAAGAGAGGAGACCACAAGGAGTTTGATCAACTTCCAATAGTATGAATACATATCATATCCCCACTCCATTTTTTAGGAAAACTAATGAAAAGGGCTTGAAAACTTTGAGTTTAATGATAAGGACAAAATAAAGGGTAAAGTGAATAGTACCAGGTTTGACTTTTTAGTGTAAAAATGTGATTTTTCGTTAAAGTGAATAGTACCGCAGGCTTTTCGTTAAAACTCCCTTTTTATAGGGCCAGTCTGTAAATCAAGATTAAACCCCTTGATCAACTTCCTAATCAAATACAATCCTAACCAACTTAGTGTTATGTTACATGGTGATAGGATCAACTTCCTAATCAAATACAATCCTAACCAACTTAGTGTTATGTTACATGGTGATAAACGGGACAAGTTAGAGAGTCATCAAGATGAATAAAATCTCTCTTTAGGATTCAATTCCCCTTTATAATTCCTAAAATAGTACAACAACTCAAATTTAAAAAAAAAAAGAAGGGAGCATTATCACTTCATCAAATAAATAGTAGAAATAATCTTCTCATTTTAAATACATATTATAATTTGATTTCACGTACAGCTAAACGTGGTGCCATTTGTGCATGCAAATGTGTATAACATATACTTTCAAGTCTCTGAATTTGAAAAAAGGTGGATAGACATTTGCAAGCGAAATTCAATGCATTATGTATGAAGCAAGTTCAAGAACTTACTGCATTTGAGTGTAAGGGGCTTGAAAGGCTCAATGAAAGAGCTGATCTCTCTATAAGAATAGTTAGGTACATGGTAGGATGCGTTTTTGGGCTGTAGAAATCCATGGCCTTTTGCATGTTCCTCTCTGCCAAGGATGCATACTGCTTGACTCGTTGGAGAATTGTGTTTTCGCCTTTGGGTAAGTTGTTTTTCTTATGATCTAGCTCTAAGAATTTCATACAACAATCCCTTTGGTAGCAAGCCAACTGAAAATAGGAATATGCAGCCTCCTGTTTCCGCAATTCACCTAATGATTCATAAACAGACAGTGCCTCTCTAATGGCATCGTTGGCTGAAATCTCATGCTTACGAAATTGTTTTCTTGATTTTCTGCCACTAGGACTAGTGGAACTGACATGCACGACTCCAGTTTCATAGACATCAACAGTTGTATCTTCTCTTGCCAAGAACATTCCGAGCCTCAGATACGTATGAGCAAACTGTGTATATACCTCAGTCCTCAAATTGTTTAGTTCAGAGCCAGCCTCTGCAACAAAAGCATTGAGTTCAGCTTTTGCTGCCCCATAATACTTAAGGGATTCACTATATTCTAACTTTGTGGTCTCCAATGCATGGTTGTATGCGTTATGAAAGATCGGATGCCCCTTGAGACCGTCAATCTTTGATACCATCTCTTCTGCCAATGCCCGTCTTCCATGCCCCAAGTTACAGTTTATCAATATGATGTTGGTATGATCAGAGACTTCTCTGAATGCTTTTATAGCATCTACAAAAGCAAATTCAGCTTTTTTTAGTTCTTTCCTTTCAAGTCTGTTTCGACCCAGTTCATTGCATACCCACCCTTTCTTTTTCATTATAGATTGTAGTTCAGCAGAACCGGAAGGAAGACCACCTAATGCCTTTGTAGCAGCTTCGTAACAGCAACAGGCTTCCGAAAGATTGTTTTCAGCATCTCCAACTGCAGGACCTCCAAGGAACTTGAATATCCCACCATTTTTCACTTTCGTTGTTTCTCTCAAAGAAGCATTAGATTGAGAGGCCAGTATCGGTCCCATGTCATGCACTCCTAAAGTGCCCTCTAAATTGTCAGAATTATCAGATGACACATGTTTCACTGTAAGCTTATCCATATTTGAAGATTGTTCTATGGTTTCACCGTTTCTCTTTTGGTGTAGATATCCACAATCAGACACCTTGCCACTCTCAGTTTTCAAACAAGGATTATCATCTTCAGTCTCTCTTGCAAGCGAGAAGGCATTGCTCTTAGCATATGGTCTTTTACTGTATTTCCTGCCAGAATTTACCAAGCGCATATTGCCACTACTACTACTTGCACTGCTACCACTGCTTGCCCTATCACTCTGGCAGCTGCAATTTACTAGAGAACATGAACTGCAGTTTTGTGTATTGTGCCCCAACTTCTTCTTTAGCCTTTTAACTTCTTTGACAACCTCGGATGAAACTTTCAACTCTCTAATAGAATATTTTCCCTCTGCTGGTGGAGAGGTGATACTATCCTTAGCCAAATGGAATTCAACATAAACATCTCCAACCAGTGTCCATGCCTTGGCCCAGAAGAGGTAGATGGATGAGAACTGCTCGAAAGAAAGACAACCATGAGTGGAGCTGGAGCTCAGATCTTCCCGATCACTATTAGATGATGTAATCTTTTTATTTGTATAACTGAATTTTGTTGGTGATGGAAAACAACTATTCATGGAAGAAATGAATTTTGTGTCTTCAAGATGTTGAGGCATTGATCCATATACAGAACAGGCCAATTCTACAACCTTCAAAGCTTGATGCAACTGACCATCCTCCTTGTAAGCTTGTCCAAGTGCCAAATATGACTCTCCAAGCAAAAGAACAAGTTTCCACAACTTGTGATCCAATGTTGATGTTGGAAGCCATTCTCTAATGTCACAAACTTCGATACAGTCAGCATCACCACATGCACAAACAGAAAGATTAACAGATGAAGGTGGCCTATCATGGGTTTCACTCTCCTGGTCCATCAACTTTGATTCAGTAGTTTGCAGTTGGCGCATCCATCTGAGAGATTTAATAGCTTGAGAAACATGATGTATTGCAGCTAGCTTAGAAGAGATTGGTTCAGCAACAGTTTGAACTACATGTCCGGTTGTTGCAGGCAATTTGCAAACTGCAGAGCTTTCAATACCAGAGGAATTTGGTGCAGCTTCTGTCAAATCTCCGTAGTCTGTGCTACCTTCTGCTATCAAATTTCTGGGAGAGTATGCATTTGCTTCTAAAGTCATCTTTACAGAAGCTTCAGTTACTAAATCTTCAACATTTTGATCATCGTCATATGATTTTTCCTGTCCCACCAGTTGAGGTTCTTCATGTACCATCGATTCAGAATTGCTACTTAAAAAGTCCAAAGAATCTTCTTCAGCATCAGTGACTGTAAGTTCACATTCTACAGGCAGATCATCAGGCTCTAATTCCAGCTCTTCATCGTGGTTCAAAATAAGCCTTGCAAATTGTTCATGTGCAGATGCCCGCACAACCTGTTAAGCAGTACATCAATTACAGTCATCATTTTATTTCTGTGACTTATCTAATTTGACAAAAATGCTGAATTAGTAACCAAACAAATATAAAAAGGTAAAAGCGTCAGTTCATTATATAGTACCAGATGATCTGGCGCATCTAGGAATTCCAAACATTTTTTGAAAAACCTAGCACACCTTGCCATATTATTTGGAGCCTGCAGGAATTCCAAATAAATTAGTAATCACTAAAAGAAGGAAAGGAAGCTAGCGAGTAAAATAGTCAAATTTCTTCCATACCACTGAAAGTGAAAGCCTGTGAGCAATTCGATACAAGAGAGTCCCCAATGAATACAGAGAATCACTTCTTCCTCGATGCAATAGAGAAGGAAGGGAGCTTGAGCTATCATCACAATCATCAGAAGAACAGTTCTTGGGAATCACAGAAAGATCGAAGAGTTGAATGACATCTTCCCCAGCATTTTTATACAGCTGAAATTTTTAAGATATAATGAATATTATTATGGGAATTGCAAAAAATCAAACTGCAAAAGGAAAAGGCAAATGAAAAATCAGTTTCAAATAAAATCAAATCACATCAGTACCCAATAAGCTCCAGGATCTTGCTTGCAGTTTTCTTGAAGGAACCTCAAAACAGAAAGGCCGTTTTGTTGCACCACATGAGGATGAAAAGCAGGAGTGCCATCCTCAGAGATCCCTTTTAGTAGAAATATATCATCTGTTTTCAAAAGCTCGTATCCCTGCACAACACCGTTTTCATGATAACAAATGGCCATCTCAGGCACACTTGCCATGACATTGTCAAGCCAGGCCTCAAGCCAAGTTAATGGTGTAACCTGCCAGTAAGATTAATAAAAAGGAAAAAAACAGACAAAGAAACAAAAAGAGGAAAACAGTTAATACGTAAAAATAGAAATGGAGGGAAAAGAAGAGGACAAAAATTTTAGTACACCACTTCAACCTGTCGTGACACATCCCAGAGATGCAAGCTAACAGCAACATATTTTTCATTACTAAACAGAAGCAAGTCACTCCCTATGAGCATGCGGAAATTGTGAAATTGCCAAAACAAAACCCTTAGAAACCCGTCGTTACCAACTCTTCTATGTTTTTCAGACTCTTGTATTGAGCTCCTGGACTTCTCGCCAACTTGTGAAGTCTTTTTGACAGGATTGCGCCCCTTATTTTTCTTATCCTTCTTATTTGCCAAAAAGAAATCATCCCTTTTAACCTGTGTGTACTCTGGACTATTTGATTTTCCACCTGGAGCAACATCATCATGCTGTCCCACAAACTGAGTATTTGCCCCAGGAAGAACAGAGGATTTTGATTGCTCTTGTGATGGAACATGATGAGTTGGCGGGCAATCACAAGCTTCCATCCGAACAGAATGCATAGCAAAATTCAAAAATAAAGACTGATCTCCACATTTTGATTGATTTTTACGTCTCCTTATTAACTTTTCCCCCTCTTCGATGTCAGGCCTACACTTGAGAAAAGGATCAGATAAGTTTTTATTTTCTTTCTAAATTTTATAAAATAGTGGACAAAATAGAATAGCACATTAGCAGGCTAATACACACCCAGTATTGAGAACAAGCGTCTGTCCAACACGCTGAACTGCAATTGATAATCGAGCCTTGGAATACGGCATTTTGAAGATCTGCTTCAGAATGTCAGCTGGAGCAATGACGTCGATCTCATCCCCATAATCAACCAATCCAGACACCGCAAGGGCCTCACATTTTCTAGTGAGATTTGATGAAACAGTACCACTATCCCAAGCTATATCTGCCAACACAAATAATACCATATCCATACCATGCTTGTTACAGCTTCAGAATCAGAAGCCAAAAATAATTCTAAAAAAACCCTCGAATTATTTCAATATTACTACCATCCACATACTCTATAAAATTATAGCATCAAAAACTGAAAACGGAAAATATTATTAGACTAAAATTGAAAGAGAAGTGGCATACCTCCGGCGGCCTTGGGGTGCACAGCAGCAATGGGAAGAACATTGTCCGGCGACGGCGGGCTCTTCAGGTCCGTCTCCGTCGGAAGCATTCGATACCGCGGAGCACTCACTCTGAAAAAATCACAAACAAAATCAATGAAAACCGAAACAACTCTAGAGAGAGAGAGAGAGAGAGAGAGAGAGAGAGAGAGGAAGGCGTACGGACGTTTGGCGGGAGGGAATGAGAGCGGAATCGCAAGAGTGGAAGGCTTTGTCGGTGGGAACAGGGATGGAGCCGCAGAGGAAGCCGACGGGGTTCGGCCTTTCAATTTCTAACTTGCCGATGCACTGAAGCTCTCGGGAGCCATCGGAGCTCAACGGTGCCGACGATGACCATGATTTCTCCATTGCTCTTCACTTTGCTAAGCTAGGGTTTCAGTTTCAATTTGTGATTTGCTTTCCTTCTCAAAATTTGGCGGACTCTCTGTGAATAAGCTTTGCTTTTCTTTCTTCTGGAAACTTCACTCAAATCAACCGCTACTCCTGCTGGACGCAACAGCTCTTCATTTATGGTTCCGGGTTATATTTGACCCAAAGTAGATGGGTCTTATACTTTTGGCACACTATTTAGCTTTTTGCATATCAACTTTATATTTTCTTTTATCTAATTAAATAAAAAAATAATTACAATAAACATATTTTAGCATTTAGTTTGTAAAACTGATCAATTTCTATGACTACAGATATTGAGTATATATCGACCACACAATGATAATATATTGATCATATAATAAACATTGATAATTTCTATAGCAAAATTTCAAAATATTTTTACTAGTTAATTGTCCTTAAATAAATCAAACAAAAATAATAACAAAACTAAATGGGCATGTGTGTGACAAGAGAGATTGAGAGGATAAAATTAGAGTGTCTATTTATAGGCTTATAATTTATATAGAAAATGTCCTAGCTGACTACATATTGCATATTAACCCTGAAGTGAGCTGTCATATGATGAATGTTATTTACAATACTTCTCCTCGAATGTTCACGAGTCAATAATAGTTGCCCAATAAAACTTTGCATGAAAACCCAATGGGATAAAAACAAAACAAAAGAGAAAAATTGATCATTACTTAGGAAACTTTGATATGTTTGATGCTCGTAATGCTGCCTCGCTAAAACCTTGCCATGAAAACTCCAGTATGATAAAAACCTGGTCGAAAGAAAAAGAGCACAGTCCGATATTCAGTGTAGCATATTGTCGAAGACTCATCCTATTGAATAACTCTGTTTGGTGACTAGCACTCCAACATGGTCGAAAACACAATCGAAAATATCAACAAGACAATCTTACCACGGCAGCAAAAGCTTGTACAAGCTTCGCAACAGGGTAATGTCTATCGAATGAAATCCAATTAAATGAGTAGATTTGTGCGCCCTGTTGGATAAAACCCTTTCCGGTACATCACTTCTACCCATTTCTTTGCCTCAGATGTCCTCCCATGTCTAAGAAAACCTTCTACTAAGGCGTCGTAAGTCCATCGATTAGGCTCATAACCTTTCTGGCACATCTTTTCGAACAAAGCACAAGCGTGCTCCATGTTGCTTTGGCTTAGTCTTCTAATCAACAAATTGTGTGTGAACACGTCTAGCGGAAAGCACATTTCAATTGCTTCTTCCAGATTCCCAATATCTCGGCTCACCTTAATCTGACCAGAAAACGCACCAATGAGCAGACCAAGCATTGAACGATCAGACATCTCATTCCGCTCCTCTCTCAGCCGTACCCAAGACTTGTAGAGCTCTGCAGTTTTCAGAGATTGCAACAGAAGTATGTTACCGGTAAAGGATGTAATATGGCGGCCAACTTTCTCCAAGTCATTTATGAGATTTACTGCCATATCAAACTCTTTATTCTGGCACAGCAACTGTATCAGAAACTCGTAACAGTCATCGCTTGGAACCACTCCCTTCTCTTTCATTTCCATCAAGAAGTTAACTGCAATTTCCACCTTTTTGGCTTTGCATAGACCAATGATCAGGGCACTGTATAGCTTTCTCCCCATCACCTTTCTTCTCTGGTGCAGATCATTGAAGAAGTTCAATGCATCCGAAATTCGTTCACTCTTCAAATAACTCTGCAACATAAGAACATCCGATCTCACATTGGGATCAATCCCACTCCGCTGCATCATCTCAAATACTTGTCTAGCCAGATCGGGCCTTTTGGCATGCCCAGCTCCGTAGATGAAAAAGTTGTATATATCACGGCTGGGTTCCCTACAAGACAACTGCATCTCCAACAAAGTAAAAAATTGCTTATCTGGATTTTCCATATCACAGAGACAGCAAATTACATCTTTGAACAGTTTACGAATTGGTAAGTGACCCTTTTCTTGCATTTCAATCAGAAGCCTGGCAGCAATATCCCCCTTGCTCGACCTGTTAAAACCATTTATCAAGCTAAAGTATGTCTTCTTTTTAGAAACCTTATTAATTCTGTTGAGTTCCGCATGTACCAAATAACCGTCTTCTACCCTCTCAGTACTGCAAAGAGTTGTAATGAACTTATCAAATGTATAGTCACTTGGCATAAAGTTTCGCTCTAAGGCGAAAATAACCAACTCTTTCATCTTCTCAAGCTTGCCCTCTCGACACAATGAGTCAGCCAGAATAGAAAATGTTTTCCTACCTGTAAAATACCCTTGTTCCATAGAATGCTTCAACACTCGATAGGCTTCGTCAATGCTACCATCCCCACAGAAAATATTGATCAAATAGTTGTAAACCATACTATTAGGAGTGAGCCCAAACTCAGATCTCGAATTATACAACTCAAGTGCGACATCCACCATCCCAGCTTTGCAGAAGAAGCACAAGGCAGCATTCATGGTGATCTTATCAGGGGAAATCTTACCCTCCTTCATCTCCATCAACAAATCACAAACCTCCTCGAGGCGATCCTCCTTCAAAAGCCTACATATCAAAGTATTGTACCTAAAAGCATCAGGTACATACCCTTCCAACGACTTCTTGTTCTGCAAAAACTCCAATGCTCCATCCAACCTCCCAGCCTGAACAAGATCACGCATCCACACACTATAAGCACTCTCCATGAAAGCCACCCCAAGGTCCTGAAACTCCTCGACTAATTGGCCAGCATGCTGGAACTTCTTCTGCTTACAAAGGGCGTCCACAAGGACACTGACGGCATGGCCAGTGACCGGCTTGCCGTCAGACACCAATTGACGCAAATAGGCTTCAGCTTGATCGAGCAAGTTCTGCTTACAGAACCACTTGAGCATGATGGAATGGGTAATTTCGTTCTCGAAACCCCTCAAAGAAATCTGCTTGGCAATGACCTGAACAGCATCAAAGCAACTCTCCTCCACTAGAGCATTCAGAAGGACATGGTAGCCAAAGGAATCGAGGTCGAGACCCTGGAAGCGCATTTTACCAAACAGTTGGAGGGCAATGTAGGGCTTGCCGGCGACGGCGTAGCCCATGACCAGAGTGTCGTGAAATCGGACGGTGTGGGCGTACCTCTGCTTGCGGTAGGTGGAGAGGAAGTCGAGCATGAGAGACATGAGCTTGGCCTTGGAAAGGATCTTGAAGATGGCGTTAAAGGTGGCGCGGGTGTGGTGGAAGCTGGGCTGGCGGCCTGCCCAATCGAAGAACTTGAGGCAGGAGAGGACATCATGGTCGTTGCTGCCGTAGCGGAGGACCTCGAGGACGAAGGCCTCCGTGAGGCGGAGACTGAGACGGGAGAGGGCCAAGTCGGCGGAGGAGTAAGGGATATTATAGCGCAAGGGGATGTCGCTGTCGCCGTTGAGGCGGCGGTCGGTGGTGGCGGCGGGGTCGCCGTCGGTAGAGGATTTGAGGATGAGGAAGATGCGGTCCAATAAGGCGTCGTTGCGGGTCTGGAACCATTCTTTGAAAGAGAGGACCACGTCCCTCGCCGCAGTCATGCGGGCCATGGTTGAGAAAGCAGCGGCGGCAGGGGAAGCGTTGGGGCTCAAGGAACAACAAAAGCAATAACAACCACCGCTGACGCTGCTGCTGGTGGTAGCAGCGGCGGCGGCGGCGGTGGAGAGAAGAGAATTGGCATCGAGGATGGCGGCGAAGGAGGAGCAAAGGGAGCAGTTGGTATTGGCCTTGGATTTGGCTAGATTTCTGAGTGAAATAAGCATAATTACTACTGTTTTGTTAATCTGTCGATATTGTCGACCGAGCTGCTGCTGCTGCCGCCGAACCCAGCGCAGCCTCAATTTGTTTCCGTCTTCCCTCTGCCAGTTCGCCGGTCCTGGTTTAAAATATGACGGGTTTTATAAGCATTTGAAATTACCATTATGCCACTGCCTCAGAAATCCAAGCACTGCCGATTTGGCGTTTACCCTCTAAACTTTTATAATTAGTTAATGGGTGTTTAATGACGTTTAATTTTGAAATTTAATTTTCAATCTATTTTGGTTACATGGTAAATGTTTGAAGGCAATAAAGCAGGGGAATTTCAGCAGCGACGGTGTCTTATTGAACGCTCGAAAGTAGGGCTCTGTGTACTCCTAGTTTTGCTGGACATGCAACAATTTCAATCTTAACATTTACCCTACAACAGTTTCAATCTTAACCCTTAACCCTAGCAAGATATACATCGGAATCGGATGGTTCAAATTAGATTATGCGACATTATTCTTTCACAAGGTTATTCTTTAACGAGGCACTTTCTTATTTTGATCTACTTTTAGCCGGAATAGATTAAAAACAATATAGACTATTCCGATTGTTAAAATATAGTGAAGAGTAAGACATTTATGTCACTCAGATAATTTCTGGAAAGAGAGTTGCTCAAGTTTCATAGATGATACATCCCAAGGAATACACTCATTTGTCAGCACAAATGCACTTGTTCTTCACGCATACACACGTATAAAAATAACTTACAGAAGAGGAAGAGGTATCGGCAATCCAAAATAGCAATCCCGCACTCCACCAAATGCGATTTCTCATTCCTATTTCCGCATGAGGAGTGCAAGATAACCTTTTTGAAGTTCCAACAACAACTTCCCATTAACATCATAAAAACAAAGATCGATATGCATACATATCAAATTGTGATTCGTATTTCTAAAACTGAACCCAGCACATTTTGCCATACAATCTCCCTTGCAATCAACATTGAAACCAATACTCTTGGATTTCGAAGAAGAAGGTTTCGAAGAGATTTCCCTTTTAGTCCCCATTCCTTTTCCAAGATCTGCACATTGGTTTTCAACTCCCGTTCAAGGTCACATCCAAGAGCCTCTGGAAACATTTTTTTAGCAACTTGCATAGGTCATCGTCGGAAAGGTTTAAACTCAGAATACAATCTCAAACTTTGGTACTTCCGTCTTCCGGTTTTCACCCCAGTAAGGTGAATGAACCAGGCCAAATGCCTTTCCAAGCATCTTCTCTCCCTCTTCAATGCTGATACCGAATGCAGATAGAGCTTCCCGGCATGTTTCCCATGCCTTCCTGCCTTCATCTTTCAAAGTCGAAATTTCAGTCCCTCTCTGCAGTTGAATGTAATACCCATTTCTTGGTAGACAAACCTGATGAACAAGCTCCTCTGTTTCGATTTGGCAAAAAATTGAGCAGTCTGATATTTGGTGCGGTATTAATAACATCACGCTGCAGCAACGATTATCACAACATTATGTCATACTACGAAAGTGACTACGGGACAGAGGTCCAGGGTCGAAGGGGTAGAGAAAGACCTAGGAAAACTTTGAAAGAGATTCTAAAAAAAGACTTAGAGTACTTGAATCTAACGGAGAACATGACACATAACCAAACGCAATGACGTTTTAGGATTCATATAGCCGACCCAACTTAATAGGAAAAGGTTTTGTTGTTGTTGTATGTCATACTACTAAACATCATGGAATTACATTATACTACCCAGCGAAAATGGACACTGAATACTTTTGAACGGACCAAAAGCGCTTACGATGACAATGAAGAGATGAAGCTTTTAAAACCATGCGTGCAAAACCAAATCATCGAGACCAAAGTATTCCCCAGTACAATTTTAATTTAATCTGCGCTAAGTAACATGGAACCGTGGGAAGTACAATCACATGCTCCACAAACGACTTACGATAATAAAGCGGACCCCCAGACCGCAACTACGCACGCCACAAATTTTGGGGGAGCGATGAGGTTCAGGTGGTCAATTCGGATGCCAGTGCTTCCTACTCCAACTTCCCCCAACTCTTTAAAGAGTATGAGTTTTAAACCAAAACTTATTTTTGAGACAAATTTAACTCATAATTCTTTCTGGATTAGTAGAATTGGCTCATTATATATGTGAGATTTAA